ATTCTTAGAACCTCTTGTTCCACATACATCAGCACCTGAGAACACTGAGATGGAAACTGTAGCCAAAGACTCCCACTCACCACTTCCCCACTCAGTGCCAAGCCACCAAGACATGACAAGGCAAACCAAGAGAGTATTAACGAAAGAGCTGGGAACCACATTGATTAACTCAGTGCAGGTTTGTCAGAAACTCTCTCCAAAAATTATTGAACTTAAGGGGACCACTGTTGTTAATTAGCTAATATGATATTTGCATAATGGCTCTACCCAGCAACCATAGTTTCTTCCAAAGTTATTACTCTACCATGGAGGTAATATAGGAGCTGCTCCAGGCACCCTGAGCTCCTGAACTGAGAATATAACTTCTAATATATGTACCTCCACCCCAACACAACCTAGACCTACTTGAACACTGAAAATATTTCAATTGAAAGAACACAGCAGATAAAAACAACAAGCACAAATGTACAAATCTCAACACAGTGATTAAAAATAATTAAATTCCAAGGGACCACAAGTCCTCCAAAAATTTCTAATCCCATAGTAACAGTTCCAGTGAAAGTGAATTAGATAAAATCCCAAAGACCACAAAAGAATGATTATAAGTATATTCAGAGAAGAAAATAAACTTATGAATGAATCCTGAGAAAACATAAACAACACTAAAAAAACAACCAGAACAGGAGAATTCTGGGAAAAGGAAAGGCTCAGTCTGCAGTTGTCATCCAGACACAGAGGAAGCAAGATGATGAAGGTACCAAGCCATAGGCTAACACAGACAAGAATTATTAACTAATTTAAGCAAGAATTATGAACTAATTTAAGATATAAGAGTTAATAAGAAGCCTGAACTAATAGACCAACCAGTTTACAATTAATGTAGACCTCTGTGTGTTTCTTTTGGATTGAACAGCTGCAGGACTGGGCAGAACAAAAATTTCAGTCAACTCTACCTGTTATTACTAATAGTAGTTACTAATTTTGTTTTTCTAATGGACATGTTCAACACGTAAAACTGCCTTCTACATATTGATGTTTATTACCATAAGATTGCTATAGTTGTCTGTTGATATGGGAGTCTTCTGTTTTGTGTTGATTTCATTGGTTAAATAAAGAAACTGCCTTAGCCCTTTAATAGGACAGAAAATTAGGTAGGCAGAGTAGACAGAACAGAATGCTGGGAGAAAGAAGCCAAGTCAGTCATTCGCCATGATTCTCCCACTCCAGAGAGATGCAGGTTAAGATCTTTCCTGGTAAGCCAGCTCGTGGTGCTACACAGAATATTAGAAATGGGTTAGATCAATTTGTAAGAGCTAGTCAATAAGAGGCTGGAACTAATGGGCCAGGCAGTGTTTAAAAGAATACAGTTTCTGTGTAATTATTTCAGGGCAAAAGCTAGCCATGCGGGCGGCTGGGTGCCAGGGATACAGCCCCACTGCTCCTATTACTACAGTCAGTTTGGTTAGAAAAGCTATTTTTGTAGTTGGTGGTGGTTATAGCAGATACTCACAAGTGATTTAAGTGCTGAGTACAAATGACAGTTGAATGCTAAGCCACGAACAGAACATCAATCTCACCTCCCTCCAAGCCCTAGTGAATATTATAAAAGATGAGGATGAAAGAATATAAGAGACAGAGGAAGGGGTAAGTTATTGGATTGTAGAATGTATAATGTGGCCCTTACACTCAGGAACTTAAAGAGCAACTGTGATTACCTACACAAGATATGGGCATGATTTGGCCTGTGAGCATTCTATTATGGGGAGTTGGAGAGGTCAATGAGGTACAGCACTTCCCTAAGGATTTATATAGGTAATGTTTGCTAAGGGATAGTGAGATGTTTTCCTCAGGTAAGTTGCTTATGCTTCCGTCAATAGTCCCTCACCCAGGTTCCTATAGGCAACCTTAAGTAAACTCACTGACTCACAAAAAAAAAAAAA